GACCTTATCAGATACAAAAGTTACATTTCTTGTTATATAGGTCTTGCTTTATCTTGGTCTTAACCATCCAGCAGAAAAGTATAAAAATGAGGTATACAAAGTAAAGCCATATTAATATGCTGAGCGGTGAAAGGCTCAAGTCAACAACTTCTGTGGATAACCCACTACTATTGTGGACTGCTGGTCTGTGTTGGATTATTTTGCTGAATTCACACACCTACAGTATTTGGATGCCAATGGAATACCCATCTCTGACAGGACTAAACAAAAAATGGAGATATAAAGGAAGGACCATTTTGTATCTGTATATAGAGAATAGTTAGGATAGATTTACAGCTACTTTCACTTAATTTAATGAGAAGAAATATTTGTACCAATAGTGTTTGGACAGGATATCCTGTCTGCATCTTGTACTATGGATAACTACTAAGAAAATAACAATGTACAATGTATTAATTATTGAAACTGTCCTATTAATCAGTTTTGAAACTGTCTCATTGCTATTTGTTTCTCAATAAAATAAAAAAGAAAACAATAACATATATCATATGATATGGAAACTTTCAAATATCAAGGGACATGTTAATATTCAGTAATTTTCCTTTTTCTCTGTCTCAATGCTTTGACTTGTTGTTATGGTTTAAATATGTAGTGCTCCTCACACTTCTGCATGAGAGCTGGATCCCCAATGCAGCCATGCTCAGAGTAGTGCTTGGACCATGAGGTCACAAGCCCATTGATGAGTAAATCCACTGATGAGTTCATAGCTGAAGGCGTCATTAGGAGGTGGGCCCAAGTAGAGGAAATAGGTCCTGTGGGGTAGCTTTAGAGGATACATAGTGCCTTAGCCCTTTCCATTTAAAGAAATTTGTTTTTAATCCTTTATTTATTTGGTACAGGGTCTCACTATGCAGCTCAGACTCGCAGTGATCCTCCTGTCTCAGCCTCCCCAGTGTCGGGATTACAGGCATGAGCCACCATGCGTGGTTTCAGGCCTGGCACTGTGGTGCCTGGGCTTCCAGGGCTCATCTGGTATGGGGTTCTGGAATCGCACCCCAGGTCCTTACACTTACGAGCAGGCACTTAGATCACTAAGCTATCTCCCCAGCCCAGCCCTTTCTCTTTGGCTCACTCCCATTCGCTCTGCTTTCTGACTCTCAGGAAGTGAGCAGATCTCCTCCACCCTGCCTTTCCACAGAATGCTCCTGCCTCGCTCCAGATCTCAAAGCAATAGTTGCTCAGCCATGGGCTGAGCCTCTAAAACCACTAGCTGAACTCAAGGAATGATCAAACAGGACAGTGAATATTTAAATAAAACATTTAAATATTTAGTACAGTAAAAGGCAATGACATTGATCTTTCTCAGAATGCCCTTACTCATTTCGAACACTCTCATCCAATCATCCTTGCCACTTTCTGGTTTTCTTTTCTTCTTTCTTTCTTTCTTTCTTTCTTTCCTTTCTTTTTTTTTTTTTTTTGTGGAACTGGGTATTGAACTTAGCCCCCTGCACTTGCCAGGGAAACACTTATTCTACTGAGCCATCTCCCTGGCTCCCTGAAGCAGTTCTTGAGCCCTCTTTCATGTCTTTTTATGGCTGCCCAAAGTCCTGAATCAATTCAAAGTGTTGATGGCAATTTCTATCAAAACTATTACAGTATTTTCGTTATCCACCTTATTCACTGGATCTGGTACCGTGTGATTTCTGGCTTTTTCCAAGGTTAAAATGACCTTTCATGAAAGGTAAACATTTTTAATCAGTTCAAGACATCGAGGCAGCCATAAAAACACAACTGAAGGCATTATGTCTTGTATTCTGAGTAACTGTTTTGAATATAACAATACACGACGTAATAATTATTGTTATTGTTTTATCATTTGCTTAAAAATTTGTTTTTATCTTATGAAAAAACAAACAAGAGAACTTCCAAAACAACTTCTAATAGTGGCACGATCTATGGGATAAGCATGTTAGAAAAGAAGGGGAGTGTTTTGAGAGGATTAACAGTATTATCTCTTATTTTTAAAGTATTTTTCAGTTTAAAACATTTGCCATATTTTTGATATCGTATAAATTCTTCTTCCTTTTAAGTTGTGTTTCTCAGGTATTTTGTCATAGCAGTAGAAGCCTAATATAATAACCATCCTTAGAAATGACTCTGAAATCTTTGCTCAAATATGTTTTCCAGAAGGCTTCACTACCCCAGTGTAGATTAGTTATCTCCATCCTTGCCTTAGTTTTCCTTAATCTTATTTCTGCTTCATTGCTCATAGTACTGAGGATTTTAACAAACTACACATCTTGTTTTTTTGCTTACTTCTTATCTCCCTACAGGAATGTATGCTCAGGGCCGAGGAGATGACTCAGTGGAATAAGCACTTGCCTGGCAAGCGCAGGGGCCTGAGTTCAATCACTGGTTCCGCAAAAAAAAAAAAAAGGAATGTATGCTCATGAGAAGAAAGCTTTTCTTTTCTTTATCTTTTAAAGACAATAAAAAGTAGTAAAAAAAAAATAAGTAAATAAGCCATTAGAAACAATACAGAATTCCACTAAACAAAATAACAAGAATTCAACAATGATTGTTATATTGCATAAAGTTATTTTAAAATTAGTTGTTTAGATTACTAGATATAAGCATGCAAAATTGATTTTAAAAGGTTATAAGAAATTAAAAAGGAGAAGAAAAATTAAGCATTAACTGCTCCTGACAATAGATCAGCAGAAATCAGCAGTACAATCATCCAAGCTATCCTATATATATACATAAATACATATTTTTCTCTTCCTTATATTTTTTGTCCTTTTCTTCAGGCCAGCTGTTCCTTCCCTTTGAACAGATTCTTTTCCTTTCACAGTGTATATTGAACCTTTCAGATTTTATTCACTCTTTCAGGTTCTTACACTAGAAACAATACGATGTTTACACATGTGGTCTGACTTATTTCACTTATGAGTATGGTCTCCATTTGCATCCATTTACCTATAAAAGCCTCAGGTTTGTCTTTCTTTACAGCTGAGTAGTATTCCGCTGTTTAAAAATATTACCTCTTTTTTATCCATTCCTCAGTTGATGAGTATTTGGCTTGGTTGAAATGTAGTTACTACCATACAGGTTGTGCCAGACACTATTTTAAATACTTTATACATTTAACAAATCTTCTCAATAACCCTAAAAGCTAGACAAAACAAATTCCATGTATGTGTAAAGAATTGTTCAAGGATGTTGCTACATCTATTTGCTCAAAGCCACACATGAGATGACAAGCTATTTAGGACAAAAATTTAGGTAGTGTGTTACTCCAAAGAGTATACTCTTCATTTTTTCATTCTCTTTTCAAGCTTATTATTTTAAGAAAAAAGAATTAGTGTCTTGGAAAATATCTCAAGAGTATATCAGAAGTCAGCTAGCATTTTTGCCTAAAAGTGCACATTTCCCCACTAGTATATAAACACAGCATATTAAAATATATATATAAGCTCTCCCTAGGGAAATGCAGTTTACCTTTAACAGAAATGTTGAAGGGCTTTTCCACCATGCCAGCCACTGTGTTCACACTGCAGACCCAAACTCCTGAGTCAAAGGGACGGAGCTGTTGGATGGTGAATATGGCAACTGAGAAATCATCTGTACGGTTAAAGTCGCTGGGCTACAAATGGTCAAATACAAAAAATAAATAAATAAATAAAACTTCTAGAGAAGCATAAACACAAAGGTCTTTAACACTGGCCACCATCTTATTGTTTAATAAGAAAATTTCTAGGCGAGATTAAGAAGCTAAATTCAATGTTAATATAATCATTGGCTTATTTCCAGAGCTATTGTAGTAGGCCTGAAAGTTTATATTGGATAGATGCCCTCTTAGATCCTGCTGTTATATTCGTGTTTTGAAGTGCGGAGTAAACACAAGAAAGAAATCCAATTCTTCTAAAACCGCCCCTGGTAATGTTTGCTCCTTTCCAGTGCAACACAAACATGTCAGGGTGGGAGCCCAAAGTGCCTTCCTACGTATTTGAGGGGCTGTCAGGAATGGCGTGATGGGAAATGGTGTCAGAGCTCTAAAGGCACTTGGGGACAATTCTTCAGAGACATAACCTCACCAGTCAGTTTCGACTTCTATAAAAAAAAAAAAAAGGTGACAGTGCTGGGAAGTTATGTACAGAAGAGCAAGATGGCTGCTGCAGAAGATGCTCCAGCGGATGTCTCCTCCTCAGAATCAATTTCTAGAGCTGCTCACATACCAAGCAACCTTCACATGAACTAAGAAAACCACGT